GCCCCGCAGGAGTCCCACATAGGCCGGGGGCTGGGGGCTGTCAGCCCGTCGCAGGGACACCCCTGGCAGCCTGGGACGGAGCCCGGGACCTGGAGACACCTGAGCAGCGCATCCCTGGTGATGCCCTTCCTCCTCCACACTCTTTCCCTCCCCCGTCTGTCCTTCCTCTACCTCCTTTGATTGGAAACAAGTCATGAGCACGCTTTCCCCTGCTTCCTCTTCATGGGCTCTTCAGAGGCTCCCTAAGTTCAGCCGGACACCTGCTGGCCTCTGCATGCCCTGAAGGGAAGACAGTTCCCTGGGCGCCTGAAGTGGGGGGCCTGAGGCAGGCCCGACTCCTGCCCCTCCCAGGGACTGCGGGAGAGGGGTCCCTGCCTGAGGGAGCCCCGGCCCAGGGCAGTAATGGGACAGATCTGGAAAAGACCCCCAAACACTAAGACAACTGAAACCTGAGAGCACCCATTCTTAATTGCTCTTTTCGTCAGAGCCGTAAGTTCCCTAAGACTTTCTGGGGGTAGAACGGTGTTTTGCCTTAGAAAAAATGTCCTCAGTACCTTGAGCACGTGCGAGAAAATTAGCCGATCCAGCGCCTGGCTGTGACTGCAACAAGGAAGCATAATCTCCGAACACTCAGCTCTTCATCGACATGCATCTGAGGCGAGCATAAGCATTTTGAAGTAATGCTCACGAGATGAAAGTGTTCTTGGTTTAACACCCATTCCTGAGGAGCTGCGGGGGAGCAGCTGTCCCCACCTGCTCCAGTCTCCCCAGGAGGAGCCAGGGAGGGAGGGGCTGGAAGTTGCTTCCCTCCTCCAGGGCCTGGGGAATCACCCTCCTTGGGAATGTGGCGGGTGACAGCTGGTTCTTCACAAACAGTTCGAACTGAACAGGTGTCCCCGGGAGCAGCGCAGCTCTCCCGCCTCGCTCCTGTGCGGGGCTGGCAGCTCCCGCCTTTCCGCTCCTTCCTCCCAGGCTGCGGTGCTTCAGGAAAACCCGCTCTCTGTCTGCAGGAAAAAACCTTTTTGACCGGGTGCAGGTATTGGATGCCTGGGGCTCTAATTCCCTGGCTCCCTCGCAGCTTCCTCAACACGGTGTTATGCATGAGGGTGGGCACCCTCCCAGTCCCCCACCTGACAGGTTCATGGGTAGCTGTCGCTGGAACCCCAGCCTCCTCGGTCATGCGATGGGGGATTTCACCCCGAGTCTGAGGGGCGAGGACACCCGTCTGTCCTTCGTGGTTTCCTCGTGTTCCTTCCTGATTACGCAAACCCTTCCCCTTTTTATTGTCCCTCTTCTGTTGCCCCCCAAAGGACACCACTGTCCATCACGATAAGAACCTGAATGAGAGGTTGCCAGGCAAATAGAAAAATATCTCTCCCTCTCTCTCCCCCCAGACCAGAGAACCAACTGCTTGGCATTAGCGAGACCACGTCAGAAGCTTTGTCTCTTATGTGTCATCCCCTCTCCTGGGGAAAGCAGTCGCTTTTCGGTTTTTTCCATGTTTATGGAATTTTTCTGGAGAATAGATTTGCTCTTCCTGCCTGGTCTGCTTTGTCTGGAAGCCAAAGCCAGTCCTCGGCTGCCAGCAGTCGGCTGCAGTGTCCTCTCGCGGGTCCCAGGGCCCACATTCCCCTTGGGTCCCTCCCTTGGCCGTGGACCCTGGGCTGTGGGGCAGGTGGCCCAGGGGATGAGCAGACGAGTCCTGCCCTGGCCTCTCCCCGCCTTGCCCTCTCTGCCCCTCAGGAGGAAGGTCCCGCAGGAGGAGGTCCCGCTCACACTTTGTTTGCTCACGTGACTCACCCAGGAGCCACGCCCAGGGGTGGCAGATGGTCACTTGGGGCCAGAGGGAACCGCTGTCGGGGCCAGTCTGGGGTGTTTCTCCACCCTCCTCCTCCCACCCTGGAGGGGGCGGGGAGCCAGGGGCCGCCAGCCCTTTTTCCTGACACCCTTCTCGCAGCCCCAGGAAAGCTCCGGGGCCAGAGGCAAGCTGCGCCAGCCCTCCGCTCTCCGTGTCCCCGAAACGTGTGTGAGCGGCGTTCCTCTTCTGGGGAGGAGCCTGGCTCTCGGAGCTGCTGGCTGAGAGCCCCCTTCAGCCCCAGCATCTCTGCGGGAGTTCCAGCGTGGCCGGCCTGCCGTGGGACACCTGCCACATCCAGCCAGGGGAAGAAACGGGCGGCTCCCCGCTCCTTCCTCGCCCGGGGGAGTGCGCGCACGTGTCCTGCGCCGATTTATGTATTCATTTGTCACTTCGTGCATAATATTTAGCACTGCGATAAAAACAAATAAGCCAATCCTATGAGAAATTGATTTCCCTTCCACATCTGTTCACGGAAACATAAATCTAAAGTTTTGTTATTGTAAAAGCCTCCAATGCAAATATAATCTAAAATTGCTGGGCTTTGAAGTTGGGCTTTTCTGTCAAAAGTTGTTTATGGACCGTCTCCCCTGGAGCTTGGCCACACGCATCTGCCTCCGGGCCCCCATCACATTGATTACCTCTTGAGGTCCTTTCCAACTCGTCGCAACGCGGGATGCTGCTCTCAGCGCCTTCTGTGCAGCTCCACGCAGGTGGGATGCCAGCGGAGCCCTGCCCTGGGGCACCTGCTGTCGCAGGGAGCACCAGCTGCGCACAGCGAGGCCAAGAGGTCACCGCTCTGAGACGACGCGGCGCAGGAGCGCAGAGGAGGCTGCGGCAAGGTCCTTGGGGGAAGTAGAACTGAAGCTGAGCCATGAAGGATGCGTGGATTTGACCAGAGGAGCATTCTAGGAGGAGGGCACAGCCGGAGCGAAGGCCAGATGTGGACGACGCAGGCCCGGTTTAAGCCACGACAGCACATCCGGGCTGGCTGCGCGGGCCGTGACCGGGAGAGCTGGGAGGGAAGCCTGCGATGCTGGGCGTCAAGAGCAATGTGGGTGTGACCGTGGTGGTTCCTTGAATATAAGTGGCGTTTTGTCGTTTCCAAAGCTTGTGGGTACACGATCTCATTAGACTTTCACAACAAACCTGTCCGCAGGCCAAAGCAGAGATTACCACAGGGGTGAGGGAGTGGAGACTCGGAAAGTCAGCCAGCCTGCTGTCGGGGCAAAGGAGTGTGGTGGAGACCCAGGATGAGCCAGGCCCTCCCAGCCCGGGCCGGGGCCTTTCCCTGACCCTGCGGTAACAGGGAGCCTGTGCGAGCACTTGCTCCTCAGCACCTGCCGGGCTGCATGCTTGTGGAAGTTGTTTGCTGTTTGCTTTCAGGTTTAATTTACTGAGTTTTCTTGTGCTAAAGCACCATAAAGAGGCCACCCCTGGACACTCTGCTGGGGGTTAGTGGGATCCTGATGGGAGACTTGGGGAACCGTCTCTTTGCAGAGGTCAGAGCTGTGGGTCTCAGAAGTGACATTGGAGTGGCTTCAGCAAGGCTGGCAGAGCTGGCCAAGACCTGCCGTCAGCAGCAGCTTCCCAGGCACGGGGACCGAGACGACGCCAGGGGCAGAGCCGCCGNGACAACACCAGGGGCAGAGCCGCCATGGCAGCGGGCAGAGCGTGTCCTCCTAGGGGCCTCACCGCTCCAGGATGACAGAGAGCGTGGCCAGGACGAAGGCCATGCCGATGGCCATGGTACCTCCTTGGGCCACTTGACATCCACACCAACATGACCACTATCATCCCCATTGACTACCGTTGCCTTGAGCCTGGCCTGCTGGCCCGCCCAGGTCTGCTTCTGCTCAAGCATGACCCTCAGAGCCTCGTCTTTGAGGGGCATCCCCGGAAAAGCCAGTGATCTCACACAGAGGAAACAGACTGATCTTAGGGGCTTAGTCCTCGTGTCCTGGACCCCGCAGCCTGGCTTGATGACGAGGACCAGCTCCTTGTCCTCAGCTTGCCGCCGTGAGTTTCAGGGTCTGAGCCCTGCTGTTGACCACACTGAGAGCCCAGCCTGCCGATGCAGCCAAAGCTCCAGGGCCTCTCATTCCAGGACCCTGAGGCCTGCAGCCTGCCCACAGCACCAGCGCCATCAGCTCTCCTTGTGGAGAGGTATTTGTCCCCTTTCCTGTGGCAGAACTGCCAGGCTTGGGATTAATTCTGTGCACACACACCCCTGCGGAGCCGCCCTGAGAACGCCCGGGTGGCAGGGCCTGGACTTCTGAGCCATTAGGTGCAAGTAGGCTCATCAGCGTTGTTTGCCATCCTGTTTGGCAAATGAGCCAGAAACGGAGCATAGTGGGGTGCTTCCGGAGCCAGGGCTCCAGGGCAGGGAAGGGCGTGGTCCTGAGCAGGCCTTGCCAGGGGAATGGCACTGCCGGGCAGGGTTGCAGGTCCACTTCAGGCCAGGTCGAAGGGTCAAAACACAACAACAGAGGTGACTCCCGGCTCCCCTGAGGCCAGGCTCCAGTTCTGAAGTGTGACCATGTCACAAGTCAGACGGGACTGAGAGACATGACCAGAGGGAGAGGGAATGGAAACTTCTGGGCCATGAGCCTGTGGAGGCAGATGGAGGAGACATCTGCAGGGTCAGCCCTGCTGGCTGCAGCCACTTCAGCCCATATCCCGGTGTGACCTTGAGGTCCTAGGAGGCCGTGATGACAACTGAGCCCACACTCAGACAACCAAGGCGAGATGGTGCAGGCCACTGGGAGCAGGTGGCCCGGATCTATTTTCTATTATTTAGAAGGGAGTGGGTGGATTACCACACTCCCTTTATGCAGAACTGAGGGAGGCAATTTGGTCCAGCCTGAGTGTGTCCGTGGAGGCGAGGTCTGCCAGGCTCCCAGATGAGGATCGGGCTGTTGCTGGGGTCCGGCCTGCCCAGTGTGCTGGTTGTTTGTTGCCCTGGGGGACTCTGAGGAGGCTTTGCAGTGACCTTGACGCAGCCCTAGAGGTGATCACCTGGAAGTGAGCTTCCCTGCCTGGGCTCCAGACCCCTTCTTTTCAGGGAGCTTCTGGGGCCCCACAAGCCGCTCTGCAGAGCATTTCCTCCCAGGCCTGTGAGGCCTGTGATGGGCTGGGCTGAACGATGATGCGGGTGCTGGTGCTGGTGCTGGTGCTGGTGCTGGTGCTGGTGCTGAGAGAGGGGACCAGCTGGGGAGTTTCCAAAAAGGAGACTGCCTGCCGGTGGGATGGTTAGATGTCAGTCTGATGACATCTCTCTTTTTAGACTTGGGTTGATGTTGGTTTCAGTTCTCATTTTGGTCACAGTGGATTTCTCAGCCACGATGGAGCCGCTGAAAGTCCATGATGAGAAGGCCGGTGTGACGGGTCCTTTTCCTTTGACTTCCGAGCATGTGAGATTTGGCATGGTTCCTCTTTCCCTGCAGAGCTTGACTTCTCTGAGGGGACCATGTAGGCTCCATCATAATCGCTCCCTCCGGGCCCCCAGCCGCCTCCTCTCCAGAGGAAAAGGCTGCCAGAGAGGAGCACCAGGGTGAAGCGTGGAGAGGAGCCAGAGGGAGAGGAAGGAATGGTGTGCTCTCCAGGCCCAGGAGCCCCGGCCGCACAGACCCGGAGCCCCTTCCATGGAGAGGAGAGGGCACCAGGGGAGGAGATGGACCCAGAGAAGGGGCCCCATTCACCTAATGGCAGCCACAAAGAGGGACCCCCAGAAGCCCTCTGCTTGGACAGACTACTCCTGTCCCCAGACAGGCTCGGGGCACATGCCAGCTCTTTGTCAGGGGAGCTAACTGCAGTGACAGCCCCCGAATCTCAGAGGCTTAACACATAACCCAACAAAGGTTGGCAGGAAACTGCTCTGTGCTGTGGTTCAGGACTCAGGCTCCTCTGTCTTGTGGCTCCACAGTCCCCTGGGACCTTGGAGGTGTGCACCGGACCATCTGTGTCCGGCTAGAAGATGGGGGAAGGGAGGGTGAGGAGGACTGTGTGGGAGGCTCCATGGGCCAAGCCTGGAGGTGCCCTCCCTCTAGTGACTTCCTGCACTTTGCATTGGTCACTAAGCATCAAGGGAGCCTGGGAGATTGGCCTGCCTGTGTTATGGGTTGAATTGTAGTCTCCCAAGAAGACATATTGAAGTTCCAACTCCTAGTAACTTAGAACGTGATCATGTTTGAAAACAGAGTCTTTACAGGGGTAATTGAATTAAAATGAGGTCATTAAGATGGGCCCAAATCCAAATGACTGGCACCCTTATACAAAAGGAGATTTGGACACAGAGAGACATGCAGAGGGCAGACACGTGAAGACAGAGGTGACACCAGCTACGAGCAGAGCCGAGGAACACCTGAGGCCAGAGCTGGGAGAGGGGCCTGGACAGACTCCCTCACGGCCTCAGGAGGAACCAGCCCTGCTGACACCTTGATTTCTGACTTCTGGCTTCCAGAGCTGAGACAATAAATTTCTGTCATTTGTCACCTGGCTTGAGGTACTTTGTTACAGTAGCCCCAGGAAACCAGCTGCAGCAGCTGCGTGCCCAGCGTCGGGGAGCGTTCAGCCAGCTCTGCTACAGTCCCCCCCGTCAAAGGAAGAGTAGCCGGCTCTCAGGGCAGCTCCTGGCAGCCTCCCTGGTTCCGCCACCCTGCAGGCTCCTCTCCCAGGCCCCTCCGCTGGGTTTCCTCTCACCTTCTCCCCACGTGGCGAAGAGGGAGGAACTCAGCTCTTCTCACCTCCGTTTTTTCCTTTACCTGTTCCAGGGGGCCCGAACCCTGCCAAAGACCCGCTAACTGACCTCGAGCTCGTCCCTGACTCTGTGGGACTTAGTTTCCCTCTGTGAGGCAGGAGCAGCCCCCTCCTCTCAGCAGAGGAGTCGGGCACGAAAGGGACGGGCGACACCTTGGAAATACGGCGGCTGCTCTCACCCGAGACAGCAATAATCACTGTAGCTCAGGAGGCTGTAAATCATCTCCAGCTGGCTGCCTGGAGCTGGACGGGACCCAGCACCCAGGAAACTCAGCTGCTCGGCGAGTGGGGACAGCGACACCGACAGCACCAGGGATTGGACTGTAGCCACGCAGGCCAGGGAGGGACGCACTGAGCAGGAGCCCTGGGCATTAGCAGCCCTTCCCGTCCCCAGCTGAGACCTGGTGCAGCTGGTGCGACCACACCTGGGGAGACAGGGGCAGGGCGGGGACTGGACACGACCGGGGCGTGGGCGCCGCCTGATACTGAGGGCCGCTGTGTGCCAGGCTCTGGGCTCGAGCTGTTCCCGACTGTCTACAGTTCTGCAAGGTGTGGGGACTGCGGGTCGCGCAGCAGGGTGCCAGGTCTGGGGGCGCTGCATCCAGGCTCTCTTGGATCATCTTAAACCGTCTGGGTTCAAAGCTAGTTGCTTCGCTGCCTTGGGCTTCAGGATCCTCTCAGAACAGTGGGGATGAAATAATGCCACTTCACAACTCAGGGTTACTCGCAGAAGCTCTGGGTCAGGGGGCAAAGGTCAGGGTCAGAGAAGGAAGCAGGAGGCAGAGGGTGGAGCCTTTGCCCGAGGGGCATCCTCCCTAGATGCCCGGCATCGCCCCTGAGCTGCTGGCAGCCAGGCTCTCCCTTAGGGAGCTCCCTGCCCTCTGTTCCAGGGAGTGTGTCTTAGTCCGCTTGGGCTGTTACAACAAAATATCACAGACTGGGCTGCTTATAAACAACGAGCATGCATTTCCCACAGTTCTGGAGGTGGAAAGTCCAAGGTCACTGCAGCAGCAGGCATGGGGTCTGGTCAGAGCCCACTTCCCTGTTCACCGATGGCCGGCTTTTCTGTCCTCGCAGGTAGAAGGGGAGGGGGTCTCTGGGGTCTCCTCTATCAGGACACCGATCCCCTTCGCAAGGGCTCTGCTCCCACGACCTAATTACCTCCCAAAGGCTCCACCTGCTAATACCACTACTTTGGGGGCTAGGGTTTAACATGAATTGGGGGGGCACAAACACTCAGACCGTAGCAGGACCTGAGCTAGAGGCCCTGCCCGCAGTGTGGGGAGAGGAGGGGACAGGACATAATCTGTTCTCTCTCCCAGTGCATCCTCCTTCTGATCAGATTCTGAGCACCTACTATGGACCCTGGATAGACACATTTCCCTGGGACAGACGTCACGGAGCATCTGCGATGTGCCAGGGCCCACGTGATGCTGCACATTCAGAGGTCAAGCCAGAAACACCCTTCCCTCCGGAGCTCACGGTCTAATGAGGGAAAGTCAGAAGGAAAGAGTGACAACAGGGTAAGCGCCTCCGTTCATGTCATTTGGTGTTTTGAACAAGAGTCCCTGAGTGCCAAGCGTGTGTCAAGCATGGCACTGGGTGCTGTGGGTATAAAGTTGAGTAAAACGGGACCCCTGTTTGGGGACACTAAGGAATTAACCAGCAAACATTCAAGAAGTTTCCAAAGCGTCCCGATGGCAGGAAGCACAAGGGACTGGGGCCTGTGGACTTGAGGGAGGGCCCTTCACGGGATCACGGAAAGCTTCCAGGCTGGGGTGACCCCTCCACTGAGGCCCTGAGGGTGAGCAGAAGTTGGGGAACCCCAGAGGAAGACCATGTTTAGGGGAGCCTTCCTGGATTCTTGCCTCTGATAAAAGCCCCTAGGCTACCCTCTCTAAGGTTTCTTGGGGGGGGGCTGCCTGAGCTGGGTCCTGAAGCATGGGTGGGAGCTCAGACAGGCAGGGTGGGTGAGGGCACTTCACACAGAAGGGACCACGTCGTGAAGAGTTGGGAGGAAGTACTTGCAAAAGGCCAGTTGAAAGGTAAGCTGGGGGCAGATCCGAGCTGACTCCTTAGGTGCTAATAAGTTTAGAGGACTTGGTCCTGGGTGGCAGGGAGCCAATGGACAGGCTCAGGGATGAGGTCAGGGAAGGGTTTTAGAAAGCGGGTCCTCTAGGAGACCGGATAGGAGTGAGGTCGTTGAAGAAGTGAATCAGACCTTGGCCTTACTCTGAAGCTTACTTACCTTAGAGCTGTGGAGACAATGCTGCCAAGTGTCCAATACACCACCTCCAGCAGCTGCAGGGCACGGAAACACCCGGGCATGGCACCAGGCATCACCCATCATACCCGAGACAGAACCAGGAGGGTCTGGGAACACTGGGCACTCACTGGGTACAGACCTGTGCGGAGGCTGAGCACAGCGTGCGGGCCACGCGGAGCCTTCTAGTGAGACAGAGATGATCCAGGCGGCACATGAGAGGCAGCGTCAGAACAAACTCCGAGGCTTCGGACCCCGGTGTTAAAGGAGGGGCTGAGGAATCTCCCACCCAAGTGTCTCTGGGCTCTGGGGCCACCCCCATCCCTGGATACTCTCATTTGCCCACTGTCTCCAACTGGGCTCTCCCACAAACAGACCCTGAGACAGGATTTAAGACAAGCAGTTTGTTTTTGTTTGAGAGGGGTCCCCAGGAAGCACGAGTCCCCTACTGTTGGCAAGTGAGATAGCCAGGGAAGGAAGCCAAGAGTGGTGCATTACTGAGCAGATTACGGCTGCGGAGGCTGGGGCTCCATCCCACCGGGACGTCTGGGAGGCTGTGGCTCACACCTGAGTTGCCTGATCAAGCGGGGAGGAACTGGGCATTTATCGATCCGCTCCTACCCGGTCACGCTTGAGAGCTGCTCCTAGGGCCCTGCCCTGCACTGGCTGAACACAAGACTCTCCTCCCAGTCAGAAAACGCCCCTGGCAGAGGGAACGTGGTCTTTTAAGTGCTGTGGGCAGACTTCTGATTATTAGCTGGTCATGACTGAAATTGTGATCTACCTGGCCCCAGTAACCTCCTGTTTATGTCTCCCTCCTGCATTAGAAGAGAATCTGCCTGAGGACAGGCTAGTCACCACTTTACCATGGGGGGGAGGGGGGCTAGTTCAGTGTCTGGCACATGGCAAGTGTTCAGTAGACACTGACTGAATAAATGTAATTGGGAGGGTGATAAGTTCATAGTAAGGGCCTGGCTCTGTCTGAATACTTTCTCCAGCCCCTTATCTTCCTCTGTCCTCTCGTGTCCTCAACCTCCACCCTGGTATAGCAGAGCCTGTGAGCTGCTTCTCAATAGCCAGCTATCTGTCTATCCATCTGTCCATCCATCCACCCACCCACCCACCTAGATATATGTACACTTGACTCTTGAACAACAGAGACTTGAACTGTGCAGGTCCACTTACACATGAATTTTCTCCCCTAAATATAGGGTTGGCCCTC